CAATCTGAAGAATGTAATCAACATCACTGTATTATACGTGCAGCCATTGTTGAATTGGTTTATGTTTTGTCGTGTATAACTTCAACAATTAAAAAAAAACCCACTGTACTTAACTCTTATAAGTAGCATAGGAGGACAGCTTTATGACTTTGGATTCGATAATGGGTTTCTTAACTATAACACCCAAAATACAAAGAACATAGGAAAACTTGGGTAAACTAGATTTCATCAAAATTAAACTTTTGTGCTTCAAAGGACACTATCAAGAAAGTGAAAATCAAGCCACAGAATGAAAGGAAATATTTGAAAATCATTTATATGATACGGAACTTTTATTTAGTTCAAAAAATACATAATAAAAATACTCCAATTTAAAAATTGGTGGAGCTATAGGAGATATAGCTTCTCCAAAGATGATATAGAAATAGACAATAAGCACATGAAAAGATGCTCAATATCAGAGTTTAGGGAAATGCAATGAAAACCACTGGAAACTACTACTTCATACGCATCAAAAACAAGTAACTCCCTGCCCTAGAGTCTGTCAACTCAGAGCAGCCCTTTAGAACAGGGGCTCCCCTTACACTTGCAGCTTTTGCCTTAACTGCCGTAGCTCTGTAGATGATTCTTGGAGCACTTTCTTGAGAGCTTCTTGATTCTCTGTTTTCCTTTTTGCAAAACACTCTTTCACCATAATAAACTGTTTTTCTTCTTTCCTTTTCTTCTTGTACTATACCACACTCTTAAGACTAGGAAAGCAAGATGTTCACTCTGAGTATATCGCCTTACTATTTTACTCAAGAGCCTCATTAATGCAAATATGAAATAAAAGACAAAGATTGGAAAGGAACAAAACAGTTCCTATTTGTAGATAATTATTGATGTAGAAAATAAAATTAATCAAAAAGGCCTGTGAATAATGAATAAATTTAGCAAGGTCTCAGGATACAAAGACAACATATAAAAATTTGTATTTCTATGCACTAGCAGAAAACAACTGAAAATGAAATATTAAAACATCTGCAATTATACCATACAAAATAAAGTACCTGTAGTAAATGTATAAATAGGTCACGTGCAAAGCCTATGCAAACGTACAACCACTGTTGAAAGCAACATGATGCCACCTAAAGCGAATGTTAATAGAAATTCCGTATGATCCAGCAATCTCTCTCCTGGCTGGATCTACATCCTAAAGAAGTAAGCGTCATACCTCAAAAGACACATGCACCCCTTTGTTTAGTGCAGCACTCCTCACAAGAAAAGAAGATGGAAACAACCTAAGTGCCTATCAAGAATGGGTGAAGAAACTGGTACATACATACAAAGAAATACTATGCATCACTGAAAAACAATGCTGAAAACATGAAGCACCTCTTGACATGAATGGACCTCGTGAACATCATGCTGAAATCACTCAATCACAAAATGATGAGTCCCTATAAGTGGAAAACAAACCAAGAGAAAGATGTTCATAACAGGGAACAGATTGAGGAGACTGCCAAGGGTGGGAGGGCAAGAAAGGAAGAAAAAGTAACAGATTAGACAGAAGATGGGTGTTAATTTTGGTGTAATGCATTATAGTAACCTCTAAGAGGGAGAAGAGTAAACAAGGAATGGGTGACGGATAATCTTGTGGGGGTTCTGATTAGTCATTTAAACTGTTGAACACAAAGATGATCCAAATTGTAACCACATTCCCTATTTACATTATCAAAAGAACATTGCAACGTCAAGAAAAAAAGAGAAACGAGTTATGGGCACATGTTTATATTGATTATGTTGTATATGTTTGAAATTCATGAAAGATTCAACACATTAATAGCTTCATTTTCCCTTTCAAATGAAGAGTCCAGGCGGTGCTTTAGGTCAGGCACTGACTGGGCTGCTAACAAAGCGTGGAGGTTGAAATCCAAACCTGGTAATCTGCTCCCATGAAGGTTTTAGCCAAGAAACTCCCAGAGGACAGTTCTACTGTCACATAGACTCAGTGCCGACACCCTAGGCCTGGTAGTATGCTCACATGCTGCTATCAATTTGATTCTCACTCAGAGTGACCCTCGAGGGCAGGGTAGAACTGCTCCTGAGGGCTGTTGAGAACAAAGCCCTGTCTTTCTCCAGCAGAGCTGCTGGCATTTTCGAACTGCTGACTTTGCGGTTAGCAACCCAAGGCCTAACCACTATGGCACCAGGGCTCCTACTTTTGAACACCTTTAAAGGCTGTGATTGAGTTGGCCACCAGCTCAAGGTAACTCCATTTGCTACATCGCTGAAGTAAAATCTCAAAGTAAAATTTAATACTATGTAAAATTTTAATCTTGTTTACTACTTCTCCCCGTCACTA